AAAAGGCCCCCCTCTTTTATCGAATGGGTGCGTTGAGCACACCACACCGCGCCGCACCGCACCGCACCCTTTCGATGAAAGCCGAATCAAAGGGTGTCGGCATGTTATTGTTTTCTCTCAAGATGCCGCTAAATGTCATCACATCATCATAGTAATGATGTTTTTGATCACCTTTATCAGGACCTGTTATATTTTAAAAGCACATATAATGTACCCTTCAGCCTAGTAGGAGACTTTAATTCAAGGACTGGGTTACTTGACGACTTTATGGTAATTGACAATGTTATTTCTGAATGTTCAGGTTATTGTTCTTCAAATGAAAATGTTGATTTTAAGAGCTCACTTACTGATGATGGATATGATACTAGGAGGCATAATATGGATTATTCTATAAATAATAATGGTAGACAGCTTATTGGCATTTGTCAGAGTTTTGACTTGAAGATAGTGAAGGAAAAAAAAAGATAAAACGATTCCATATATAGATTCGAAACATACCTCGCGCAAATTCTGTTTATAGATACGCGTACATGAAAGAAACCGCGCGGCTGACTCAAAGGGTGTCGGCATGTTATTGTTTTCTCTCAAGATGCCGCTAAATGTCATCACATCATCATGAATGGGAGATTTGGTAGTGATAAGGGTGTTGGTAGCTTCACATGTTACAATAAAAATGGAGGGAAAAGTGTGGTTGATTATGTCATTGCATCTGTTAGTTTATTTCAATATATTACTCATTTTGAGGTTGACATTTTTGATAAGTGTGTTTCAGATGTACACTGTCCATTGAATCTGATGTTTTCAAATAAATTGATTTCTATAAATGAAGGTGTTGAATTGAGAAAAATTGAAAATAGGGTTGATGCTTCCAAAAAAAGTGAAATACACTTCATTTAAGTGTTCCAAAGAGAAGGCATCTGAATTTAAGTTGAAACTTGATCAAAGTATTCCAGTACTGATGAATGCATTGGAAATAGTTGAGAAGTCATCGACACAAGGTAATGTGGGTAACTTTAGTACTGCATTAGCAAATTCATTTTTGAAGACGGCAAAGGAAGTTGGTATATGTGAGGATAAAGTCTGTAAGAAGAATAATTCAAGGAAACTTATTGTGGAGAAGAAACCATGGTTTGACACAGAGTGTCAGCATGCCAGATCAAGTTATTTCAATCTAAAAAATAGAATTGAACGACAGTGCAAAGGTCTAACTTTGAGTGATAAAGAACAAAAGATGGCTGAAATTAATGCTGTTGCAAAAGATTATAGGAAATTGCTACGTAGAAAGGAAAAAGCGTACACCAGACTCTTACACGACAATCTTCATATACTTGAGAAGGATATAGTCCACAAGAATATTGGAAAATTTTGGATGGACCGAAGCGTAGCTCTTGTCCAGCCAAGGTCTCTTTAGATGATTTTGTGCATCATTTTAGTAGTTTAAATAATGTGCAATGTGCAGCATCTGACACACATTATGAGGATTTTGACCAGTCAATGGGCAATGATGAGCTGAATGCCCCTATCTCGGTTGATGAAGTTATAAAGATTATCCAGAAACTAAAGAATTATAAGGCATGTGGTGTAGATTTGGTTAGAAATGAGTTTTTGAAAAATTGTTCAGCAGCTGTAATTGGTTGTATTACTGCTTTTTTCGATAAGCTGTAAGATAAGATTTAATACTGGAGAGTGGTCTAGTACCAAAAGACTGGTGTCTAGTTAGTATACTTCCTATTTTCAAAAATAGAGGTAAGGATACAGACCCAGATAACTATCGTGGGATAACACTTTTAAGCTCTTTGGGAAAATTGTTTACTTCTATCTTGAATTATAGGATAACAATTTATTTCGAAAATGAATGCAAGCTTGGGAGAAGAACAGGCTGGCTTTCGTGCTGGCTATTCTACAACAGGCCATATTTTTGTTTTGAAATCCCTGCTTGATATTTACTTGTCTAAACGGAAGAGAATTTACTGCGCTTTTATAGACTATAGAAAAGCTTTTGATATGGTTGATAGGGTTTCACTTTGGCACAAATTATTGAGGTCAGGGGTGGATGGCAAGGTGTTCACAGTTATTAAGAATATGTATTCTCCAGCAAAATCGTGTGTGATAGTAGATGGTCAAATGTCTGAGGCTTTTCAATGTGATGTTGGTGTTAGGCAGGGTGAAAACTTATCACCCCTGCTCTTTGCAATATATATTAATGATTTCGAGGATTTTCTCAGTAAACACTTTAAAGGTCTCAAATTTTTAGTTGAAAATATATGTGCTGACATTTTAGATAAAGAAGTAAACAAAGATCTTTTTATACAATTATACACATTGTTGTATGCAGATGACATCCTAATATTGGCTGACACAGCAGAGGAATTGCAAGTGGCTTTGAATGCCTTATCTCAATATTGTAAAATTTGGAAGTTAAGTGTTAATGCTATGAAAACTAAAGTACTTATATTTTCAAGAGGCAAAGTACGTAAATTTCCAGTTTTCAGATTTGGAGAAGATGAAATTGATGTTATGGATGATTTTGTATATCTTGGGGTTCAGGTTAATTATAATGGAAGTTTTAAAAAGGCTATTTCAAAACAGGTATCACAGGCCAGGAAAGCCTTCTTCTCTATGTCATTAAAGGTTCAAAGACTCAAACTGCCACTGGATATTCAATGTGAATTGTTTGACCAACTTGTATTACCAATTACCAAATGGATGCGAAGTGTGGGGATATGAAGATTTGAGTCAAATTGAAATATTCCATAGAAAATTTCTCAGGTCAGCGTTATGTGTAAATAAATTTACACCAGATTGTATGATATATGGAGAAACTGGGAGGGCATGGCTAGCTAACAGTATCAAACATCGAGGGTTAGTTTCTGCTTAAGAACAGTAAAAGGTTCTCCCTAAATTTTTATTTTATGCAAAGGTTAATTAGTCAGAATGTAGATATGTCTACTTCTTTCAAGTGGTTATCTTGTATTAAAAAATATTGAACCATGCTGGTCTTGGTATTGTTTGGCTAAGCAAGGGGAAGAATTTAGCAATAGTTGGATACTGAGCACTCTGAAGTTGAGATTAAACGATATTTGAAAACAAGACGTGATGGCAACAATTTGGACAAACAGTGTGTGTCTGAATTATAGGATCTTTAAAAAGGATTGTCTCTTTGAAAGGTATTTAGTTTTGCTGAGTAAAAAAGATAGAATAACACTGAGCCGTTTTAGATGTAGGTCACACCGTTTACCAATTAATAATAACAGATTCAAAGAAGCTTTTAATGCAATTAGTATTGAATGCCCATGTTGTGATATGCATGAGTCTGGTGATGAATTCCATTATGTTTTTGTATGCCCTTTTTTCAGAAAGGAAAGAGAGTTATATTTAGGTCGCAAAGTAATAGTTAAACGCCCTTGCACATTACACATGTTGAATTTATTTTTATATTCCGGTATAGGACAGCTGAAGAAATTAGTACTCTTCTTAAGGGTAATAATTTCATATTTTGCTGGTCTATATACATGTAAATGTGAACAATCCAATCATATGTCACCCATAAAAAGGAATGTTACAACCCGAAGTGGTAGGTTAATTAAGCAACCAACAATTATTGATCTGTAGTACAGTCTTTCTTTAGGTCAAGTATAGTTTTGATGGTTTGTTTGTTCTTTTGTTCTTTTTTTGTTAGTATACTTTTTGTTTTTGTTTGTCTTATTACATTATATGCCATCCAATGGACGATTATGCCGTATTTTGTTAGTCTGCATAAGTCTTAACAATCCAATCACAAATCACTTACATGTACAAAAATGAAACTTACTAGTAATTTGTTATATAGTTAAGACAATAATGTATTTTTTTTTAATTATTCTTTGTTTTTATCTTTCTTTTTCTTCATGTTTGTATTTAGATTGTTCATGTGGTATTCTCCACTTTTCATGTATGCTTGCCATATTGTATATTGTGTTTATGTTTAGCATAGGCTAAGTTTACATCATTCCTATTTATCGTTATACTTTTATATTGTTGTTTTGTTGTATTCTGTATTCTTTGTATTATTAAGCTATGTTTGTATTCTTTATTATGTATCATTATCATGACATGTACATGTGTTGTACTCTCATACCCCAGAAGGGGGTCGAATGAGTCAATAAATTATATTCTATTCTATTCTATTCACAGAAGAGAAGCCGCCGCGGACTCGTGGTGTCACTGATGAATGTAAACCATTTATATCGCCCTACGTTCGATAAAATTCCATGTATTCAGGTGGTTTAATACATTATGTAAGCTGGGGCTTATTGTTGGCCATTTAGAGTGATAGTTTAAGTGGAAAAGTTGAGTTAGTAAATAAATGAATGAACGAAATAGAATAAGCTTATGAACTGAAAATGTTTGCTCTATAAATAGACGTTTTGTGAGTACTGATTAAATTAATTTTTTTTTAAATTAAATTTGATTAATGAGATGTTTTTTGGTGATGTTTAAATTAGTCTTTGTATTAAGCTGGGAAGTTTCCTTAGTCTTAATGAATTTGTTATAATGAGTTTACGCTACACATTTCAAGGAGTTAAATTAGTATTTTGACTTGATTTCAGTTTCAGAACAGAGCATAGAAACCGCACTGTCAGAAACTTCTAGATTTGTTTATTTGTTAATTCAATGATACTATATGTCGAGCTTGAAGTGGCTACAGTTATTTTGATGTAGACATTTAGCTTTCATTAACTTAATTGATGTTTGGATATATCAGTCTTCATTTATATGTGAAAAGATTGTATAAGTATTTATCATTTTGTGTCTCATTTGTATTCACAGATTGAATAAAATTGCAGATTGATTTTCAAGCTCTACCTAGGTAATTCAAAGCGGCATTCCTGGTTTAATTCCTTATCTTCAGTGATCCAACCAGCGTGCCTCTATATTTGTATAGTTGTTTTTAATTCATTACTAGTTCATTTAAATATTCTTTATCTTGCATATATATATTTTTTTTTTTACAGCCAGTGCTTCTCTGGTAACTCAAGGCGAATCTGCGGTTGTCCGCGAAACCAACGTCCAGGAGCCTGCTCCAGATCTGAACATGGAGGAGAAAACAGTTGTTTGTAAGTAGTCTGCATGCACAAACCCTTTTCAGTCAAAGTACGTAAGGTGTAGTGCAGATAATCTCGCTGCAAAACCGCGGCGTTTTAGGTTCTTTTTGTTATAATGACGTAAAGTGTACTTACTCTAGGCTAGGCCCCATAGAAAAATTGCCCGAACCTTGCTTTTTTTTTTATATCTACAATGTTTGTTGATGGTTTCTTGTCAATTCGAGGGTGCTGAATCCAAATCCGATGAGTGCCAGGCGTAAAACCTTGAGCATTTCTCGTAAAATGCGAAAATTCAAAATAGCCGCCGAATCATGAAAACGCTTATTCTTTGACAATTTAACAGGTTATTTGATGTTTTCTTGTCAAAATCGAGGGTGCTGAATCCAACTTCGATGAGTGCCAGACGTAAAACCTTCAGCATTTCTCGTTAAATGCGAAAATTCAAAATGGCCGCCAATTTATGAAAGCATTTATTTTAAACTGGGGTAGCACCTGGCTTTGAGTTCTGATCTTAAAACTGAATGCTTTATTTAGCGACTTGTATCACATGCTTTACATCTGTGAGAAAAGGATAAGATTACACTTGCTTACATTCTTCAGGGCAGTACTATATACAGCACTAGGCATTTTACAGCTTATTAGTTTATTGTCACTTCGATGGTGCTGATTCCAAAAGCGATCTGTGCCAAACGTAGAACCTTAAGGATTATTCAGATAATAAGAAAATTCGATACGGTCACTTTGCTGGATTTTCAAAACTTCTGTTTGGGAAGAAATTTCCTCAGAATTTCAGGGCACTTCGATTTGTCATTGATTAGATATTAAGATCAGTAATGGAAGACCATCACTGACTTCAATGAGTTGATTGAAGTAGCCAGCAGGAAAGGCAGTCGAACTACTAAACCGTGGATGAACTGTTCAGCCCATGATCATCTTTATGGCTTTTAAGAGCTGAAAGGGAGGGTGATTGGATCCGATCAGATGAACTAGTACAAAATAAAAAGTTGCCGAAAGTGTTTAATGACACAATTACGAAGAAACTCAAAGGCTTCTGATATGTCATCAAGAGATGAGGTGTCTTTACTTGCCAAAACAGGGATGATCTACGCCCGAGTAATCGAGATCGTTGCTACATCAAGGGAAGCGATTTCAACCAAAAACTTATTCTCTTATGAAGTGGCTCCCTATCCATCCGCCCTGTCCAACAAGAATGGTGCTGCACATTCCACAAGTAAGTCTGTCCTGAATTCAAGTATCAAAGTTGAGTGTAGTCAACAAAATGCAGAGGTGTCAGATGTTATCATTCTTGATGGATGTGCTCTTCTTTGGACCGTTCTTTGGCCTGCTTCTCCAGCAAAGGTCATGAAATATGTCAGATGTCCAGTTATTCATGTGGTTTTTGACAGATACTACAAGAGCGGCATCAAGTCCGTTTTCCGAACAGCACTTGTAAAAGGTTGCAGCCCTGTAGCTAAACAGTGAGTATCATGTGCCAAAACAGAAAGTCATCCTAAATGTAACTGCAAACAAGCAACAAGTTATCAAGATGATCGTAGATAAGTTGTGTTCTATGCAATCACACTCGAAGGGCAAACGATTGATCGTAACTGAACCTGATCCGCATCCAGGTGCGCCGGAAGCAGTTTGGGATTGGGGGGGGGGGGCAAACATTCCAGGGGGCTCACCTTCCAAGGGCAGTGACGTAATGAGAAAAAACGTTCGAAGGGGGGGGGGGCAGACGAAAAATCTGCATCACCACCAGTCTTACACGTTACATGCAGGTCCCGCGGAACGTTTTTCAAAGAGGAGTATTAACGATCAGGTAGAGGGTAAATTAGCGTGGGGTCCAGGGCATATGAGCCTCGGCAGGGGTCAAGGGGCTGGGGCCCCGGAAGCTCAGGGATTTTAGGTATTTAATTACGGTTAGATGAGCATCCAGGGGCCTCTTTAAATCCATTGACGTGTTCCAGAGGGGGGGGGGAGCCCCCAGAAGCTCAGAGGTTTTAATGTTTAACTACGGTCAGATGAGCATCCAGGGACCGCCCTAAGGCCCTTGGTGGGGTCCAGGGGGCAGAGCCCCCAGGAGCTCAGGGGTTTTAGGTATTGAATTATGATCAGATGAGCATCCAGGGGCCCGCCTAATACGGCCCTTGGTGGGATCCAGGGGGCAGAGCCCCCGGAATCTCAGGGGTTTAAGGTGTTTAATTACGGTCAGATGAGCATACAGGGGCCCGCCTTAGAACCCTTAGTGGGGTCCAGGGGGCAGAGCACCCGGAAGTTCAGGGGTCTTAGGTATTTAATTACGGTCAGATGAGCATCCAGGGGCTGCCCTAGGGCCCATGGTGGGGTCCTAGGGGTAGATACCCCGGAAGCTCAGGGGTTTTAGGTATTTAATTACGGTCAGATGAGCATCCAGGGGCCGCCTTAGGGCCCATGATGGGGTCCAAGGGGTAGAGCCCCCGGAAGCTCAGGGATTTTAGGTATTTAATTACGGTCAGATGAGCCTCCAGGGGCCGGCCTAAGAGCCCTTGGTGGGGTCCCGGGGGCAGAGCACCCGGAAGTTCAGGGGTGTTAGGTATTTAATTACGGTCAGATGAGCATCCAGGGGCCCCACTTAGAGCCCTTTTGGGGGTCCAGGGGGCAGAGCCCCCGGAAGATCAGGGTTTTAGGTATTTAATTACGGTCAGATGAGCATTTTTTTTACCTTATTTGTGACATTGGTAGGTCACTTATTTTTTCTCTCCGTCTTTCTTTCTTTTTCTCTTTAACATACTTTTTCAAAGTGACGGGAGGGGGGGGGGGCTCGAGCCCAGACACTTTGCAGACCATGACATAAAGGCTTCTAAATAAGCGCATTTTTCGCTCGACTGTTATTTAGGAATTTCTTATTTTCCAACAAACGCATAAAAAGGTATGACTTACCGGAAAATCATGTCATAACAGCAACATTTTTAAATCACTGGTATCGTACAGATATACGCCCCCCCCCCCCCCACATCAGTACGCCAGCGTTCAGGGGCTCATGTCTTCTCACCCCTAAAACAAAACAAAAAACAACAGACACGCTTTCCTATTCTCGCACAATATGTCCACGATATGCGCGTATCGCTATTATAAACCGTATAGGTAGCATGCGCTATGTTTATAACATTGATTTCCTTTGAAGTTTCCTTTTCTTTGAATGGAATGGTATATGTGATTTAATTCAGGTTTTTATTATTGTTATGTTCTTTTGGTTTAAAAATACAAACCATGTTTATTCCTTTACTGCTTTTTTTTTTTAGGGGGTTGTTTTTTTTGGGGGGGTACCTGCGTTTTGCCCCCCCCCCCCCCCCCACTTTTTTGACTGGGGGGGGGGGGCAACTGCCCCCACTTCCGGCGCCTATGTCCGCATCCATTTGTTGTTGGTGTTGGGGCACTTGAAGAAGAGGCAGATGTATGCCCACATGACAAAGGAGGCTAAGAATGGTCACTCATCTATCAAAGTTGTGTGCGATGACACAGATATTCTGTTCATTCTTGCACATCATCTACATTTCCAAACTAATGGCTACAATGGAATTAACATCTCCCACTCTAGCAGTCATATATATCAATGAGGTTATCAAGAAACACAAGAAAATCATCCCTAATCTATGTGGAGCCCATGCATTGACTGGATGTGACACCGTTTCCTGTTTATATGGAGTAGGAAAGTCGTCTGCACTGAAGAACTTGGAGCCCTAGCTATCCTGATTCTCTACTCCTTGGGAATACTGAAACCCCTCTCGATGAATTAATAGAATCCTGCTTGACATACGTGGCATCTCTTTAAGGAGAAGAACCAAATGATTCTCTTGACACGATGCAAAGGATCATTTTTGCAAGGAAGGCTGGTGGCAAGCGTCTATAGTCCTTCCCAAATTAATGAGTCAATCTTCAACCAAATGACCGCTTTTCGGGCACATTACCAGCGGCCATTATGAAGTGGCGTTGTGTGTGGCTGCTGGCAAGCCAGTACCCCCAGCCCTAGACCCATTGCAGAATGGATGGAGGAAGAAATCTTCTATGATTCAACCTGTACATATCGAAAATGATCATCCAGTCGCAGCGGAAGAGTCCTCAATATCAATAAGTGTAGGAGCGACGTACTGCAGAACAACCCAGTGCAGGTCACCTAAAAATTCACTTCACTGCCGCTGTATAAAGGGCGATGTACAATGCCAAAATCCAATGAACAAGACATCACAAGAGAGTGACAGTGACATTAGCAGTTGTGAAGACTAGCGCGATTTGACATTGTTCGGCACTGTTATTTTGAAGGAGCTAAACAATTCTCCAATTTATGTTAATAATTGTCTATAATGGACAAAGATATGGTTTACAGTGAATATCTATATCATATATAAATTCATTTATTCATTTTTTTTATTCATATATAACTTTTCCATTACACAAAATATACTTTGTTGTTTTCTAGCTAGTCTGCTGGGTTCACTGTACCGGTATCCACGGCAAAATGCATATATCGGACCACTCGCATAGATACAATGCTGTTATCACTTGTGTGAGTAACATCTAGATAAAGCACACACTCAGTATACCATTTATATTCCATCGGTTGGCATACATTTTGGTAATACGTTAAGGTAAACAATTTGTATACTATGATGATAAGAATTAAGAAACTGCGTAATAATATGTGATGTAGTGAGATTCGCATTTAGTTCGCATCTGGCAATCATCGGTACTAGAATCAGCGCCCTTGATTTGTCAAAAGACCATCAAGCAACATGATAACTGTCCTTACAATAAACGTTTTAATGATTTGGCGGCCATTTAGAATGTTCCTATTTTGCGTGAAATGCTCAAGGTTTTGGATTCAGCACCCTCGAATTAACAAGAAAATATCAAAAAACCTGTTAAACGGCCAAAGAATAAGCGTTTCATGATTTGGCGGCCATTTCGGTGGACATTTTGAATTTTTGCATTTTACGAGAATGCTCAAGGTTTCGCGTCCGGCACTCATCGAA